TTTAATTCAAGATATAGAAGAAAATTTGGCAATGCATATTTAAACGATAATGTCTAAATTTGTTTCTTGTGAAATAAACTATGAATTATATAACAAAAAAAAAAAAAAAAAATAAGAAATAAAAATAAAGTAACACAAATTTTTATAAGATAAAATTAAATTGTAAAAATCTAAAATTAAGATTTTTTAAAGATTTAAAAATTTTCCAAATAACATTATGTGAAGTTTACTTGGACAATGAAATTTAATGTTTAGTTGATAATTTTTTTTTTTGTAATATGTTACTAAAAGTGATAAGAAAGAAACTGTTTCCATTTTACGACTCCACATGAATGAAAAATGTTAGGATATCTTATCTTGTTTCATTCATGTACATTTCCGTAGTTTCAAATAAGGAAATACAGAATGTTTCAAAAATGTCAATTAACTCTTTATATATTGTTATATGATTTATAAAATAACATAAATTAAAAATATGATTTAATTATATCGATATGATTTTCAAAACAAAACGCCACTGTAAAATGATATAATTGCAAATTCAAAATTAGTAGTAGAAGAAACACGTGTTATTTTTGATCAAGTACATTTCTCGATGTGTGAAATGTCGTGTTAGATCTTTGATTATAAAATCTGTCTATGTTACGTAAAGCACATAACGTGTAATGCGGGTCAAATTGCACACCGAAAATCGAGCACGTATGAATGCAACGGTACCCTTTTAACATTTACAGAGCACGTTCTAAGATGTCACTAAAAATTTTCTATACGTACATATGTAAATCGTTTGAAATTTTAGAACGAAGATAATATTAGATACTTTTAAGCATTAAAAATGAATTTAAACATTCTGATTTTTAATTTAATCGTAAGTATTCTAATAAGAAAACAAACGAATATAAAATTTATGCTATATATGCATATAAATTTAAAACGAATCTTCACTTAACAATAAATATACGAACAAGAAAATTTGTTTTATAAGAAATCAGCTTAAAATTTTTACTATATAAATAAAAGTATATCGGAGAATACGCAATGAACTAAGTACATAAATATTTGAAATATTCTATAAATGTAAAATATTAAGAAAAATCAATAAAGCATTCGATCGTAACAGATCCAAAATTTTTATATTTTTATTATATTTATCACGTGGAAACAAACGTGATGCTAAATCTTATGATACACAGAAGAAAACTCGTAACGAGCGCGTGTATAGAGGAGACCCATCACTACCTGTTGCAGAGGAGGCTATAGTAGAAACACAGCAGGATCCCCGAGAGGTTCACATTCCAGAGAGGAAGGACGAGAGAAAGAGAGACATGCGCCGGCACGCATCGTTTACAAGTGAAAAGGGCTCTTTTAGGTCTCGATTCGAGAGGACCCGGATGCCTGGTCTTTTCGAAGGACTGTATTGTTCGTGGTCGAAAGCGCAGCACACTCTGGAGACCACCTTGGCGGAATATTTCTACTAGCGAGATTTGAGAAAGCCTAACCTAACCTCAAATTCGCGAGATCGTGATGGAAAAATAATGGCACTCACCTCGACGCTCGTTCCTCCCACGTTATTTTCCGTGTGCAACAGTGCCTTCTTCATTCATCGAATGCTCGTTTCACAAAAATCATCGCACCATGCTTGTGTCAAAACACTCCGCTACACTCGCCTCACCACGGCGCATAATGTGCACTGTTTGAAAAGATCGCGGTTAAAGCACGTAGGAATTCACTGTTCTCTCGATCGGGACTACTTCGCATACGCTTTCAAAGATGCGAAAAACCGCGCGCTCGTTTATATTCACGTGGGTTGCGCAGTCTCAGAAAAAATTCGAAACGGGAACGACGACAACTTCGACTTCACTTCGAAACGAAAGATGAGTGTGACAGAAACACTAACCGATGTGTTGCCGTTTGACCTGTCTCTAAACTGACCAATCGCCTTGCAGGTGGTATACTACGATGTATCGCGGTGAATAGTGGGGGAGAAAACGAGAGGGAAAAAGACCACCTGACGCGCAACCTTTTGGGGTCTGGCAAAAGATCGAATGGGGACCGAAGGGGGTCTTACGTTGAATACTTGGGACCTAATCTTATGAACTAACCAATGGTCGGTAAAGGAAGAAGTCTGTTATTGATTTAAAAAGAAAAATATATTTTTAAAACAATATTTTTATATCAATAGAAATTATTGAGAAATATTAGAGAAATTAAGTAAAAAAGATATCAAATCGTAGCATAGCTCTTGAATGTATAAGTTTTATGGAACAAGATAGACAAGGAGAGTAAATAGTGTGAGAAGGATAGAGATAAGGTAAAAATATTGAATTCAGCGCCATCTCTAGTGTGCCGCAAATGAAACACATAAAGAAAGGATAGTAAATATAATAAAAAGGATAGAGATAGTGTAAGAATTGACCATTAGCGCCATCTCTTGAATTCCAAAGGCACTTCTTTATACAAGCAAGAATTGATTAGCAGCGCCAGTTTTTCTAAATGTACTCAAGAGATGGCGCTACGAGTTAATTTCTATCCTATTTCTGTCCTTTTTCCACTATTTACTGTCCTTTTTTACGTGTTTCATTTGCGGCACTCTGAAGATGGCGCTGATGTCAATATTTTTATTCTATCTCTATCCTTCTTCCGCTATATACTTTCCTTGTCTTACTTTTGGCGTGTGATCATAGATAAAATTTTTTTATATATTTTTCAATATATTATTTTCTAAATTTTTTTTCATGTATTGTAAATAACAATGTTAAATTATATTATTTTTAATTGAAAGAATTTTATAAATTTACAAATTTTATTATTTATTTCCATTTATATATTTTGCATATTCTTAAAAATATATAATATATATTGTATTTTAATTAGGAAACATGTAATATTGTTATGTTATGTTATTAAGTGTATTAAAACAATAAATAAGAAATAGAAAAAATTTAACTATATCCTTTGCCAAATTGAGGTTAGTTTAAAGCTTAACCTATTCATTGTATTTACGCAATGTAAACACGGAAAGAAATATATTCTTTTTATATTTATTCCCAAGTGTTAAGTTTATTGTTGATATATTATTATGACTATACAAATGTTTAAAAAAACTCTATTGGATTTTAAATATAACAATAATAATTTTATTAAATGTTTTCGTTCTATTTATTATGTTTCCGATGCACATCTATCTAAAAATTTTTTTTACAATAATAAGATATTAATAGGATATCTTTCAAATAAACGAAATTTATCGAATGTGAAAAATACTTATTTGCATCGACATTCAGAAATACATTCAGAAATCCTTAAAAAACCATTATTATGTAATAAATATATTCCACAAACCATAAGAATTCCTACTAATCCTATCGTTACTAATAATAGTAGAAAGTATTCAAATGTAGCTCCTAAAATTATAAATGAAGTTGCTGCATATAATAATGGAATTTTTCAAATGATTTCTGAAAGCTTACCTGTGGAATTGATTACAGAAGCTTTAAGATTGATGCATTATCAAACAGGTTTACCATGGTGGGCAAGTATCATGCTCACTTCAATTATAGCAAGAACAATTATAAATCTGCCATTAAATGTACTTGATGTAAGTATTATTATTATTTGATCTTAATTAATATTCTTTATTTCTTAAAAATGTGTTATGTAATTTTTATCTCAGGTTCACACAAAAGCAAAACAAGAAAATTTGAAATTTGAATTGAAGGAAATTGCAGAGAAAATACAAAAGAAAGTGCAAAGGGAAGCGATATCTTTACAATTATCTCCATACCGTGCACATTATCTTTTTACACGTGATGTATTTATTTATTCTTTTATGTATATAAACTAACTTTTTCAATTTATATCAATTTAATTAAAGAATTAATCTTTTACTTTTTATGATAGTTTAATAAAGAACAGAAACAATTATATATAAAAAATAATTGTCATCCATTTAAAAGTATTGCTATAATATTATTACAAACACCAATATGGATAAGTTTTTCGATTGCAGTAAGAAATATATGTTATATGTTGCCTCAAGTAAATTCTGGTAAATACAATATTTTTCTGTTTAATTTAATATTTTTTTTTTTGTATTGTAACAAGTTTTAAAAATTTTATTTTATTAGCTACTCTCCAAGACTTTAAAGAGTTGACTACTGGCGGTTTTGGATGGATACAAAATCTCATAGATATAGATCATTATTTTATATTACCTTTTCTATTTGGACTTTCAAACTTAGCTATATTAGAGGTATGTATAGAAATATTTATTGTAATAAATTTACATAATATTAATATCAATATTATTTTTCAGATAAATCAAATATTATTTCATGTAAAAGATTCAAAGTTTAGTAGAATTTATAAGAATTTCTGTAGACTACTTATAATTGGCTTTGTACCATTAATGGCATGTTTGCCATCGGTATGTTATATTTTCAAAAATGAATAATCTAGTTTTTTCTAATATTTATTATATTAAATCGCAAATCAAATATTTCAGTGTTTATCATTGTTTTGGGTCACCAATAATAGCTGTGCAATAGTATATAATCTATTGCTTCTGTCTCCAAAAGTTCGTCGATTAGGAAAAATACCCAAAACCGATTCTGAACTTAGGCGTCCATATACGGAATTGTACAAACGATTATTAGAGAAATTATATTTAAAGAAATTTTTAGCGAAAACAACATAATTATATGTTAACATAGAAGTAAAATTGAACATCTTTTTTCTCATGTCGAATGTATAATTTATTAAAACAGATAATAAAGAAATAATTATTAAAGTATTATTAATAAATATATTAGTGTACGATATTAATTGTAATATTATATATTACGATATTAATATTAATTGTAAAATTTATTTCATCTAATGATTGATCCGCACCTTTGATCTTGATAGAACTAAGGTCGTAAAAATTGTTCCCTTGTTTATGTTTGATTATGAAAACAGAAATGAAAATGACAAAAAAAATTCACTTCTAGTGATAACGCATTAAATCATATTCTGCACTTATGCTTAGAAGATACGTATATATAAAATTCATTTCATTAGCAAAGAACATACTTCAACGAACGAGTTTGAAAGAAACAGAAATCATGGCTAAGTTTTTCGCATTTTTGCTGTGCATCATTCTTTGTGCCGATTTCGTCTGTAAATTAGCAACAGTACGTATATTTCGTATTAATTATAAATTTATTACTGACATTTTAATAATTTGTATATTTTGGCCTAATTTGTGACTAAATTTTAATTGTAATATGGTTATACCGTTTCTTAATATATATATAACAGATTTATTAATTTATACATAATTCAATAATTTTTAGGGAGATGTTTATCCTTATCCAGGCGATTGCTCAAAATATCAGCATTGTGATAATAGTGGTTGTTTTGTCCTAAGTTGTGGCGCAGGGACAGAATTTAATCCAAATATTGGTACATGTGATTATCCTTTGGCAAATCGGCAGGACTGTAGTAATCGATATTAAAATTTTAGAATATTTATGAAATACGTATAAAGTCATAATGTATATCAAATATACAGTATATGTACATATAACATAAATTTATCATATGATATAAATTTTTATTTAAAAATGATTTTTTTTGAAATGATTATTTTACTTATAAAATTACGATAGAACAACATGGAAATATTTCCATCGAATGTGTATCAAAATACCATTGATAATCATAATTAAAAAGTATATTTATACATAATTATGTAAATAATATGTCTAATAAATATGTTAATTTTATTTTAAGATTTTATAAATAATTATAATAGAATTGTTATCAGCATCTTTCCCAATCCTGACAGAACTAAAATCGTAAAAAAACTTTGTCTTATTTTACATATGATTAATTAAAAAATTAGAAATGATGATTACGATGAAATTTATAATCTAAATATTTTTATAGCATTCATCATTTTCCTTATTTATGTTTTCAAGATATTATAAAATCCATTTCATTAAAAAACAAAGTACATTTTGAAGAACGAATTGAAATTACAAGAATAAATAACACAATTACAAGAACAATTATCATAAAATCATGGTTAGTATCAAATTTTCTGTATTTTTATTGTGTATTATTTTTTCTGTATCAGCTTCTGAAATAACAATTGAACGTATATTATAATTATGGAATATAATTTTTATTTTATACTTTTACAAATTTTATTTTAATTTGTGATATTGATCATGTAATTATTCAATCATTATAATTTACGATGTATTTAAATGAAATTTACACTATTAATATATGATATTATCATTATGGTTTAAAATTCAATAATAAGAATTTTTTCATAAAATCGAATTGTAAACGTTTGAACTCGTTCTTGTTTCTCTATTAAAAGAAAATAAAAAAATTCTATAACTAATGTCATTCCTGGAAGAAATATTACGAATTGTAACATTGTTGTTCCAATGAGTATCGTTGTCAATTGCTCATTTAATCATGAATGGCTCAACGTTGACTGTTGCTCGCAAAAAGTGTACTGCAACAATGTACAAACGATCTTCATTCGTGTGTCAAGCAAATCATTTAGTACAATATTTTGAAAGAAAAAGACATTAAATAAATAATTTCATTCATTCGTTAGAAATTTTTATGCTGTCAATTTAACTGCGATAATTTATAGTCACATTGAGTATAGTGCGTTGTTATATTGTAACAGATATATCAATCAATTTTGCATGCGAGAGAATGACAATTCGATCGTTAATCTTATTGTGTGTATTTTGATAGTTTTCAGAAAGTGAAAGTGGTAAATAGAATTTATTTATTATTAATAATAATTAATTCATAAAAATGTAACTTCGTTTATATGAAATATAAACGATATCTGGTTTATAGGAACCGATCCAATTCGATCTTTTCTGTCACGAACATCGTGTACATTTCCACCTTCTTGCACATTTCTATTATCGGTAACAAAAGTTATTCTAGAATATTATTTATCATTCATCTCTTAATAATTATTGTTACTTTTATATTACTTCTGGATTGTATATATGTATAATATCAAAAATTAAAATTCTTTTATTTTCAAACATTTTTAATAATTATAAACACGTATCTGTAATCTTTCTATTCATTACAATTCTATCCATTATAATTTTACAATTACATACAAGAAAGGATTGAATCGAGGGGATCGACACGATGTGTAAAGAAATTAAATTTTCTTTAGTTATTAAATATTCTTTATCTTTTATATTCTAACTGTGATTTCTATCATTCTCCACATTCGTTCAAAGGAAGAATTCGAATCAAAGAGATTCCAAAAAATAGTTGGTATGTCGAAACGGCATAGTGCAACGCAGAAAATTGTTTATCCAAGAAGCATGGATATGGATTTGCTGGCTTCGTTCACCGAAGAAGAACATTTTTTGAAAAAAAAAAAAAACCTTCCTCAGATCGTGTCGATTTAATCATTCTAATTATCACGCATCCACGAAAACATATAACATAAAAATAACGAGATCACGAAGAGAGCGAAGATGTATCCTCCGATTGTATCATTCGATCATTCATCCATTTATCAACAAGAAAAATATAACGTAACAATAATAATAAAATCACGAAGAAAGTGAATCATCGTGCGTGGAATCTCTTATTCCTTTCTTTCCAACTACTTTTCAGCAGCCTCTTTATCAGATCCCAGAGAGTCTGATTGTTGTCAACGAGGGCCAATTTGTTCTCTCTGGAGTCAATTGGCAAACAGTTCTGTGTGCATTCGTTTTATTAACGTGTTGATAAAACCACGCTCGCCTCTCTTCTTTCCACCAAATAAGATCCTCTTTGAACGATCCCATTCTCTCTCTCTCTTTCTCTCTCCTCTACTATCTGCTCCTCTCGTCATCTCTCTTTTCCTCGGAACAGTTTCGATCATTCGTCTTCTTGGCTCGCGTCAGCCTCGACTTCTTTTTCCGGGAGACGATCTCGACCCTCGACCTCCATGACTGATAACCCCTTTCCATTCTTTCGTAGCATCTTTCTCATCCGAAGAAGAACTTCGTAGCTTTCTCGGTAAGTAAGCGATCGTGATCAAACGACGGTTTCATTAGGAAAAACCAGATCATCCAGCCGCGATAGAGGCAGTATAGTCGAGGATGATGTCGCGGTATACCGGCCGTTCCCTCGCTGTCATTGTTCTTCGTCTATGTTTCGTCGTCGCTGTCGCCCACGCGGTACGTGATTCCACTCTTCTTATTGCTCTTTCACACACCGGAAGGTTCTTTGCTTCTTTGGTTACGTGGTTTCAACAACCTGGCGGGAAGATTTGTTTAGGGATTGATGATGGCTGAAATTGATGATGAACCGGGCAGAGAAAGATTTATTCTCGCTCTTTTTTGTTTCGATCTCTTTGAATGTTCTGATCTGGATTTAATTCTTTGGATGTTTTTTTGTTCTTGATGCGGTGAATTTTTTTGCTTTTTTTTGATGACTTTGTAGGGAAGAACGTTTCTTTGTGAATGTTTGTGTTGTTCGAGGAACATGAATTGATCGAGGAAAATGAGTTTTGTTGAATTTTACGAACACCAGGATTTTTTTGTTTTATAGTTAAACGAGTGGGGATTTTGTTAATTAGGGATGAAATTTGTGACGTTTTGGATTTGGTTTTGCGTGAATTGTTGATTATTATTAAATCTTTTACGTAGTAACTGTTTTTCGTTCTTAATTGTGATCGTCGCAGAAGTATCTTATTAATATTTATTAACTAGATAAGCGCTGATAAGGTGGACGATAAAGAATGTGGCCTGAAAAGCAGAAAAATTGGTTATATGTGTGGGTTACTTTCGATAATGATTTTCAATGATTCTCTTTGTTTGTATCGTTGCTTGTTTCTGTGATGGCAAAGTGTATAAGAAATTTAATACATTCGCGTATATTATTATTTTTAAACATTTGTTTAATAATGTCGTGTGTTTAATGCGTTCAAAATTAAATTCTTGATTCAGATCAATAATAAATCGTTAATGCTAATATTTTTAAAATGCACAAAATTCTTTCGATTTAAAATCTATCGTTATTCTTTATAATTCCACGTAACACGACCTATCACAATTTAAATACATTTTAAGTACTTTTATCTATTCACACTTTTCTCGATTTTTAATTTACACATAGATCTATGATCCCAAAGAAACGACAACAAAACCGCCAAAACGAAGAGAACCAGTGCTTCCTTGGTATTCGCCTGGTCCAGTCGATTCCAGCGAAGATCTATCACGTTCTCCAAAATGGCAAGTGGATTCAGATTATCCGATTCCTCGAAAACCGTACGTAATAGAGGTTAGGAGGGAAATTTGGAGTCCCTGGAAAAAGAACAAGGGAAGTGAGATCGAGCAGAGAACAGAGATCACGAGTGATTCTCAAAGCACGACAAACTTTGAGCAACATGACGATCTTTCTTCGAAGTACAATGACAGACAAGAAAATGAACAAATAGGAATAAAGGATGAAGAGTTTTACGAAGGAGTACCTGCTGACAGCACGGTAATAATTTATTTGAAAATTTGTTATAAATAATTTTATACAAATATTGACTTCTTTCAGATTAAAAGTTAGAAACATTATTTTGATTAGGTTTATCTCAAATGTTAATTACGATCGTTGAAAAATAAAATTCATTATCTCAATTAAACTTTATTAATATTAATAATATTTCAGTATCTATTTTGTTGGAAGTTTTCTTCAATAATGATTAAAACGACAAAAGTATAATTTTTCTTAAAATTTTTATCACTTTTCCAGAAACCTCGCGAAGAGAAAATTCTTGTTTCAACGGAAACGAAATGGAGAGTGGCTCGATACGACTCAAAACATGGCGTTCAATGTCCGCAATTCGATTCGACTGGACAATTCGTATATCCTCCGGATTGCAAATTTTTCGTGAACTGTTGGAAGGGCAGAGCTTTCGTTCAAGCATGTGCTCCTGGCACACTCTTCAATCCAAACACGTTGGAATGCGATTTTCCGCAAAAAGTGAAGTGCTATGGCGAGGAAATTAATGATTATTATAATTTCCCAACGACTGAGCATTTAGATTCTTCTAGGTTGCAGGTCTAAATTTAATTAGCCATTAATTGAAGTCTTTGGTCTTTAATTTATTGTAATTGAAATTTACAAAATATTTCTTCAGGAGCCAAAATGTCCGCCTCATTTAACAGGATTGATAGCACATCCCTCGGATTGTACAAAATATTTACAATGTGCCAATGGAGGAACGTACATAATGGACTGTGGTCCTGGCACCGTGTTCAACCCTGCTGTTATGGTTTGTGATTGGCCACGCAATGTAAAAGGTTGCGAAGGTAACAAAATATTCAGTAATTAAAATTATACGTGTAATTGATAAAAATGAGATAATTATATTATTATATTAAAAAATTTTTATGAATTTATGGAAAATTCAAATTTATTTTATTTAGTTCTCTATTTATATAAAAATATAAATTAATATCACAATAAATTATTTTCCTCTAAT